GATGCCCTCCTTCTTCAACTTCTTCTCCTTATATAGAAGTCGGGCTACAGATGGACGGCTGGATAGAGTGTTTGAGCTTTACAGGTTGATGGCCTGATAGAGTGCTGGCAGCGGGTGGCAGACAGCTTTTGGATCAAAGCGTCGGTGGAGTGAGACCCTTTTGGACTGGAGTGTCGGTGGAGTGAGACCCTTTTGGACTGGAGTGTCGGTGGAGTGAGGCCCTTTTGGACAAGAGTGTCGGTGGAGAATCTTTACTGTGGCTGTCGGGATAGGTGGAGAGTCTTTACTGTAGCTGTTGGGACAGGTGGAGAATCTTTACTGTAGCTGTCGGGACAAGTGGAGAATTTCTGCTGTGGCTGATAGATGTAAGGAGCAATATTTTTATTTGTATTTTGGGCTTCTTTCGGGTCTTCGGGCTACTCGGGTTTCTGAGAAAACTCGAACATGTTCTGGCTTTCATTTTCCTCAGTGTCTTGTCGTTCTTCTTCTATATCTTCATTTTGTTGAGAAGATTCTCTTTCGGCTTCTTCTTCAAAGATTTGTAGGAGTTGTTTTTCCAACTCTTCTTTAGTTGCCTGAGGGTTGCGTTTTTTCATTTGTCGAATATATTCAGAGAGATTATATGGGTTTTCATATTGTGATGAGGATGGTTCTGGTATTTTCTGTAATATTATTTTGTCTGGGTCTAGACTATCATTTTTTAACACATCCCACCATTTGATAAAAATTTTCTTTCCTAATCGAGGAATATATTCGAAATTGTTTGTAGTATTTTCAGATATTTCATATTTCCATTTCATAATCCATGGTATTTGGTAGATAGCCATGAAATACAAATGGTAATCTATGTTGGGATCTTTTCCATTCATTTCAACAAACCTTGCTTGAGATACTTGCAAGTTTTCAGGTAAGATTTGGGATCCAGATCCCCAAATCATGAACCAGTTACGGAACCAATTTGGGAATATTTCAGTAATTAGCATTTTGAATTGCAGAAACCATGTATGAGAATTATGGGGGTTCTGTATGGCAAATATCTTATGCCAAGCATCTATGTATTCAGCATATCGAAAATATTTATTATAAAATTCTTGTGCCTGGAGTTTCTTTGCTTGAGAAGGGTTTGACCCCCATTCGTCATAAGATAATATTTTTCTAATTTGCATCTTGGAATATGCCACTATGTTTGTATTTTTATGATAATAATGAACCATGGAGATAGAACCTGATTTTAGTAAAACAGCCTCATACCATTCACGGGTTTTACTTCCGTTAGAGGGATTAAGGTTTTTATGCAAGTATAGGTTGGCTACTTTATTTGGGTCCAGCATGGCATGTTCATCTTCTATTATGGAGTCTATGAGGAAGGTAGTTTCCTCATACTGGGATTTTTCCGCAGAGGACATCTTTTTAGGAATAAGTGACTGGATGAAAGTTGGAGTTTGGGAATATGTAGGTTGGCTTGAATATTCCGGGTAAGGACTGGACGGTGATAATGGTGGATATTGAGCTAATGGTGATCCATCATAAGAGGTTGGTACTATATCCATACGGGCTTTGCCCTTTTGTCTATTTATATTCATGTTTGTATTAGTATTTATGGTATGTTCTTTAGTTGGCTGCTCTTGGCCCCCCCTGCAAAAATTCACGAGTCAAAAAGTCAGGAAGGTGATTAGTAGAACCTTTTAAGTGGTCAATAGTAAAATCGAAAGAGGATAGAATAGCTTGCCAGCGAGCAAAGATTTGTTTAGAGACAAGGTTTTGAACATATTTTAGAAGAACATCACGGGTTGCTTTGCCATCGGTTCTGATTAAAAATGTTGTATTAAGTATATCACTTTGGAACTTTGTTACGCAATGAACTATTGCAAGGATTTCTTTTTTGACTGTTGAATAGTTTTGTTGAGTATTATTCCAAGCCCTAGAGGTAAAACGAACTAATTGTTCCTGATTATTGACTTTTTGTTTTAAGATTCCTCCTAACCCAAGTTCGGAGGCATCACATTCAATTATTTTGAAGGCATTTGGATCTGATAAAGCTAAGCAAGGTAATTCTTTTGCTTTGCTTTTCAGCTTTTGAACTGCCAATGTATGTTCCTCCGTCCACTTAGGAGGATTTTTCCGTAATCTATTAGATAAAGGTTTAGCATCAAGTGCTAGGTCTTTGTAGAAATCGGCAATATAGTTTAAGCATCCTAACAATCTTTGTAATTCAGTTTTATTAAGGATTATATCAGGAAATTTATCAACGAATTGGATCGCTCTATCAATTGGAATGTAGTTCCTTGATAAATATTATGGCCAAGAAATCTAATTTTGGTTTGGCATAAATTTATTTTTTTATCAGATACTACCAAACCTGCATTCTTGATGGCATTTAGGAAAGTATTAAGATGCTTGAAGTGCTGTTGCATATCTTCTGAAAAAATTAACACATCATCAATATAAACAAGCATAAATTTAATATATGGATTAAAAACCTCATTCATTATTTTTTGAAATTCGGAAGGGGCATTTTTGAGCCCAAAGGGCATAACATTCCATTCATATTGGCCAAAAGGCACATTAAAAGCTGTTTTATATTTATCTTTTTCATTAATTTGGATTTGCCAGTATCTAGATTTTAAGTCAAATTTAGAAAAAGTACATGCATTTACTAATCTATCGAGTGGGTGACTTTGGAGCTTGAATCCCAATCCAATGGCATTTTTGGTACCAACAACTGGGGGCCTTGTTTAAGGGCTTGGGACCCAGTCTTATCAGAATCCAGATATGTCTAGTAGTCGGGGGTCTTGCTTAGAGACTTTCTTTCCAATTCATAGGATTTTTCTTAAGAGGCTAGTGGCAGGGGCCTTTGGAGGGCCTTGTTCCTCTTTTACACAAACCTTCAATTTGTCTTCTTTGCTTTTGAACCCCGATCATACTAGGCTTAGTTGAAGGCTTTTTAGTGGTCATCCCGAAAGTCTAAACCTGTCAGTAGATGGGAACCTTGACAAGACGGTTACCCTCGGAGCTAGGTATTGATCCAAGCTAGGCAATAAATAGCCCTATCAGAACTTCTATCTTGAATTGTCGGTATGCTCTTCTTGTTTTTTGGTTGATGTCTTGAATTGGAAAGTCTCTTAGGTAAGTGGCTGACCTGACTTGCCATCTTGAGATCCTTCTGATCTTCAGGAGCCCTTTGGAGGCTAACCCGAGCCATTGGATTTTCTCAAGCTCTTTTTGGTCCAAGTGGTAAGGTACCCTGTGAGGGGTATTTGATTCCTAAACCACTGACCTTTACTGCCTTCGAACGGGTTGAAGCCGCCTGGGAGGGCGAGCACTGCATCACCTTGTTTATTAGTTCAAGCACCCTTTCGAGTTTTCATTTGAACTGGATAGAAGTGGCACCGTAGAATGGTTTTCACCAACTTCTTTTTATTAGGCTCTTTTACCCGTGACTTCGAGGTCACATCCACCTTTTTATTTCCATTTTTACTCATAGTGCCCTTTTGGGTTTTCACCATGCCCGGTTTTCTGAACACTTTTACTGGTGGCTTCATGGCTATGCCTGCCTTTTTATTTTTACTCATGGGGCCCTTTTGGGTTTTCACCATGCCCAATTTTCTTTTTGGCAATTTTACCCATAGCTTCGTGGCCATGTCCTCTTGGAGCTCTCACATTTACTTATGATGATCCTCATTGGATACTCATCATGCTCACTATCAATGAATAATTACATAATTATATTATATGATTATGAGATATTCATAATATTTAATTAGGATTCTAAATACTTTTGTAATTTTCTAATTATATTTTGGTATATTTAATTGCATCTAATTATATTTTGGTATATTTAATTGCATCTACTATTACTATTATTGTTTAAATTACAATATAAAAATAGAATACTTATATCCAAATTTATATAGCTGTAACTATAATAGTATAATTTTTAATAATATTAAATTAAAATTTGAATAGTGCTTCACAATGATCATTTTTATTACAAATGAAACTATAATTAATACCTTGATGATTACACTTATTTTAATTATGATGAAAAAGAGTGTTGAGAGGGAGGAGAGAGAGATGGTGTGTATGTAAGGAGAGAGAGCAAATATTTATTGAATATAGGAAAGACAAAGATGAGATAATAAATAGATGTGTCATCAAATTTAAGATATAGTGGATAATTAATGTAAAAATAAAATTAAACAGTTAATATAGGAGAGATGAAGAGAAGGGTGAGAGAGTACGTGGGTAGAGAGAGAGACCACAGAGGTAGCTTTAAAAAAAAAGAAATAATTCTGGGAGTTTCAAATTTGGGGCATATTAAAGATGTGAGGACACATGTCAATAAAATAAAGGGGGACCTCTTTTCCCTTTATATATAATATATAGATATTTTGTTGTCATTGAGAGGTCTTATTGAGTGAGATGTTTGATCATTGAGAGGTAGAAGCCCTTTGATGCAGTGACCAACACATACACTTCTCTTAATTGAGGCCCTTGGATTTCAAAAAAGGGCCCTTAGAAACCGAGGCGGGGAGGGGTTGGGGGAGAATAGTGCTCTCAAAATGTTATTTGTCATTATCGACATTCTAAAAGTAATGTCAATCTTTGATTTGCATCCCTTTTGGATGTGATAGACTATACTTGGGTAGAGTGTCTTGCCTTGAGGATGGACCTCACATGGTGCTTAGAGTTTTTATGATGGAAAGGACTTCCATGATCTCATATAGGTGAACTTTTGAAGGATGGCGTTGTTAGGTTGCATTCAAGTTGCATGTCATATGCTAAAACTTGTACTATGATGATTCATGCAGTCCTATTGTGCGCGCGCACACACACACAAAAAGTGGTTTAGAATCCCCAATGCTCTGCAAAAACAGATTTTCTACCTGCTGTTTTTCCTTTACTGCTTTATTCCTTTATTTGTGGTTGGGAAAAACAGAGATCTTTCATGATTTTCTACCTGCTGTTTTTCTTATTTTAGTGTTTTCTGCAAATTTTAGGTGATAGTAGTGACCCTCTATTCAAATTGGCGCCATTGCACATGTTCACAAAGCTGCGGCCCTTTGTCCATACCTTCTTGAAGGAAGCAAATACCATGTTTGAGATGTATGTCTATACAATCGGAGAGTGTGCATATGCCCTAGAAATGGCCAAACTTCTTGATCCTACTGGAGTATACTTTGGTTCGAGAATTATTTCTCAGGGTGACAGTACTATGAAGCATCAAAAGGGCCTGTGTTGGGAGCAGAATGTGCTGTAGTGATTCTTGATGACACAGAACATGTAAGTGCAATTATCACTAAAGCTAATATGAGTTTGTTCTCATTTTTGGATGGAATGCTTGATATTTTCCCTTTATTACTTGTATATTTCGAATATTCAAACATGCTATGCTTTTCAAATTAAACATATGAAATCTTCCAGTTCCATCTACTGTGGGGAATTTGTATGAAGTTTCGTGAACAGTCAAGTCCAAATAGATTGTTATTTTCATTATATACAAAGCATTGCTTTCTTTCTGGGCATTTCAAAGCTTCAAACTTGCTTATATGTTCTCCAGCTAAGCATATGAAACCCTAGTTTTGCACAGTTCCATGTATTTCTGGGAATTTGTATATAGTTTGTTGGTGAATCAAACTCAGATAGAGCATTATTCTCTCTGCTATAGTGCTCATATGGCCTGCTAATTTCAATTATCTATAATGTTGTATTAAATAGGGCAGTATAAAAAAAAACAAGTTCTATTAAAGATGGATGTCTCTTTGTTTTTTGTAGATGTCACTATTTAAAGCACCAAAATAATGTGGGTTTCACGGGCCTAGTGAGGATTTTAGAATGATCGTGTCAGAGCTATATCTACAAGGAAAACGTTTTTGTATCTAGAACCTGGCAATGTAGAAAACCCATGCAGAAGCGCATTCCACAAAAGGATATTTGAATTGTTTTTCCTTTGTGAATGGCTTGATGTGGCCTATTCATTCTGTTGTTGTGTTGCCCATTGTAGCACTGCAGGAAAATGTACTTGCAAATTGCAAGGATTTCTCAAGCATCAAATGAATAACTATTTAGATATTTCTATATTATTTTCACTTTTTTATTTTATTTTTTATCTAAAATATAATTTAATGGCATGGTTGTCTGTCCTGAATTTCAAATTTACTCTATTATGTATGGCAGACACTTGTTATAAACTATGTGATTGGCTTAATTCTGTTTGTAATTTACCTTATTTGTAGAACACTTTTATCAATTTATCCTGTATCATTCATTTTTTATAATGTGTGTTATCTCCCCCATTGTCTATAAAAGCTTTTATGCTTTACAGTTCATAATTTTTGTTAGAAATCAACAGGAAATCAAGGTAACATTTTTATGGCTAATACAACATGTCTTATGAACAAGTATATGTTTAGGAATGGGTTGTTATGTAGTAATTTCAAGATTTGAATTGTGAAAGATTGGGTGAAAAGTAATAATATTCACTTAAACTCGAGAATGAATTGTTTAATTCTGAATCTTTGTAATGAGTATTGATACATATGATTTGTTCTCTGACATAAATGGCAAATTGTAGGTGTGGCACAAGCATAAAGAAAACCTGGTTTTGATGGAGAGATGCCATTGCTTTTCTTCTAGTTGTCGACAGTTTAACATTCTTCACAAGTCATTGTCTGAATTGAAGAGAGATGAGAGAGAATCAGATGGCATGCTACCGAGTATTCTTCAGGTTCTCAGGTGAATACTCCAGATGTTTTATGACCAGGTTAACTGCTGCATAAGAGTTTTTGATGGTCTCTTTTAACTTAGGGGAAAGTATAGTGTCTCCTTTGGGCTGTGGGATGTTTTAAATAATTCATTGGGGTCATCACTGTACAATGAAGCAATGGATGGTGATGAATAAAAAATTGGAACCACCAGAACAAGACCTTTCTTGATCTTCTCCAGGTGGTGTCCCTAAGATTTGAAGTTTCTGGATCACCTGCATGCAGTCATGTTTTTCAGGAACTGTTTTAACATTTTCATTATTATTGATCTATTGCTTTTTGTTGTTAATAATTTCAGGTGGTTTGGACTGATATCAATGAAAGTGATGAAAGAGATGTAAGAAAGGTACCAGCTACTGTTGCCCCCTGATTGTTAAAGTGGTTATTTTTATTTTCATAAAAAGCCGCTGGAATTTAATGGAGTACAAGAAGAACGAGGGGCGGAAAGCACCCCATTCAAAAAAGGGAACGTGTCTAGACTTATTCTGTTCTCCCACTATACATCAAATCAGGGGCAGGGAAAGATACTCCACTAATATCGGAGAGAAAATTACCATTAATGTTGGCAAGGAAATGACTAGGGAGAGGACTAACCTGCTCAAAGCCACATCCTGTGTAGACACTGCCCCTAAAATCAAAGATCTGGGTCTGGAATTATGGGCTTTGAGGGTGTGGAGATCTGCCAAACCAATCATCTGCAAAAAGATCCCTAGTGGTATACTGTTTATGTTAAGCCTAGAGGACGAAGCTAGAAGAGTTCTCAAATGGAAATGGGAGGTTCATGGCTGGTCTCCCGCTCTAGATGGGATCCCAAATGAAGCCTTTCCTTCATTCTACCAAAGAAAATGTGGATATATGTCAGTGGAAATCCCCTTCACGTTTGGATGATTGAGATGTTCTGTATTTGTGCAAGGCTTGGAGAATTGACTGGAAGGCAACTGTGGGATAGAGTATGGAATGGTCATGTTCCTGGTTGGAAAGAAAGCAGAGACAAAAGTACCTCACCAAGTTCATTTGGTTGCATATAACCTGGGGTTCGAGAACTCCGGACACTCGCAGACTCACTAGGAGGTCCAGATTGAAGGCAGCAAAACAGGGAGTGTGGTCAAGTATAAAAAACAGGAAGGAGAATAGGAAAGAAGATCACAGAGAAGGCAGAGCGGGCTTCTAGATTTGAGAGATGGGGAAGATGAGCTGACCTGGATGCTGATGTGGCAGAGGTGGGTGGCCAAAATTCGATGTGGCAGCACTGGAGCTGGCATAAAAAATCTTGATCGGGGGCCATACTGCATAAAAACTCCCTGAAGAAATTTCAACTCCAGAATTTTAAAAGTTGAACTCAAATAGCAATCGTGCTGATGTATGTTCATTGCATGGGGTGGAGATCGAGCCATATTTCCTGGGGCAGGAAACTTCTGCCCAGAGAGGGAAAGAGGGTGAGACCCACCGACTTCACAATTGTCTAGAGTAATGATCATCTGGACTGGAATCATCTGGCAGTGGACTTTCCTCTGGGAAAAGGACTACCATGGCACCCTCCGAGCCTTTTTTTTCCACCATCAGCTGATGTCAAAGATCAAGAAGATTTTTTTTTTGAATGGTAACTTAATTTTATTCATACGAATAAATGTAACCTTATCAAGAAGATTTTTTTTTTTTTTTCTTTCTAGAATGGTAACTTAATTTTATTCATAAAAATAAATGTAAGCTTTACTTGATCTGACTATATTAAGAAGATTTAATGATCCCATGGAACACATTTGTCCAGGTGAGGAACTATGATCAGCCTCCTAGCCCTCAGGAAGATAATGCATCATGACCTCTATGGCTCAGTCAGTCAAATGGTCAGTTGCATGCAATGATAAAATGATATGGAATATACTGGGGTAGACATGGATATGCGTTTTAGTGATCCCCTCAAGCTTAGGTCAAGGGCCCATATGTGACCAAAAAAGATATGTGGAAAGTGATGACCTCCTGATTATTCTTGTTTTATTTGTATCAGTGAGGGCATTTTTCCTAACTCTGGAAAAGAGTCTCTCCATAATAACAGTCCTCATCCTTCTGATATCATCTTGCACCTACCTCTCATGACTGGACCCAGGATCATTTCCAGAGATGAATGTCATTACTGTATGAACGCTGAGCCGTCTCATCCTGCTTAAGGAGATTTTGCGTTTTGGGAAGATGGACCCTGCTTATAGCATCATGAGGACTCCTATTTTCTGCAAACTGACAAACACATTTTTCGGTCCAAGAGTATACCTAATCAGAGATTAGAAACTGGTCTCCGTGCAAATGGGGGCATAATTACTTTCTTCATTCTTCAAGTTCCACTTGATTTCTTCTTTTGCAACCTTCATTGCCTTGTAAGGATGCCTTAGTGCTAGTTCCTTCTCATCATCCACAAGGCATGAAACTTTTACAAGTGGCTTAAAAAGATGGAGACAGTAGCTAATCCATTCCAAAATTGGGGTGTTATAACAATGTCACGCACCATTTTCCCCTTTGTCCTTAATAGATTTCAAGGACGAGTAGAGTAGCAAACCTTGTGACCCTGGCCTCTCTATCTTGTGCATACCTCCTCATCATGGCTAGGACATTGGTGTAGCTATATATGAAACTTGTGACAGTTTTTTATTTCTTTAGTATCCCCGCCGCCACTTTCATCTTCTTGATTGACTCAAGCATGAGGTCAATGCCTTGCACCGTGCAAGGCATCTGAAAAATGTGCGGCCTCTTCACCTCCAACAATTTAGCAAACACCATACTGGCCTTAGCCATGTCAGTACAAACTTGCACTACATATTCCTCCCTCCACTTCTCAATATATCTATCCACTAAGGCACTAACTCAAAAACGAAATTCGCATCATGAATCTTGTCAAATGTATCAATGGACACATAAGATCCCCATATGACATTTGGCCATGAAGTCCATAATGCTTCTAGTACTCTTGACAATCGAATTATCTGTCATTATTGGCAGTCTCACTCTTACTCATGCATCCCTGTGGGTCTTAAGGCACTCATTTGTGAGCTCCGCCACTTTCTTCAACAATAGCCTCTTGAGCTCATATCGTGTAGAGGCCTTATCACAAATTGACCAACTGTTTCCAACATTAGCTTAAAAGCTCTCTAGGCTACTAAATGGCAAACCTACTTGATGATACCATCAGGCTACAAATTGAGACACCCAATCCTTATCGTCTTTCTTAAATTGGGTCCCAATAGTAGTCTACCCCTTCTCTCGAATTGCCCCCTTAAGATCCCCTCCCCCAAGGAGGGGGTGGTTAAGAATCAATAGACCCCCTTCTTCGAGGCCTCTAATGCGTAAATGAATTTGGTCTAGAAGTAGAGCTCCCTTCCTCAGCATATTCATCTTCATCTTCTCTGATATCTACAATCTTGCGACATCTTCATATTTTTCCTTTCTTCTTTCTTCTTTTTCTACCATGTAAATAGTCCATCATCTCTTTCCTAGCATCCGCAAGCACACAGTACAGGTATTATATCCCTATAATGGTAGTCAAATGCTTGTTCAATCAATTAAGGCTGGCGTAATACTCCTTTTTACAAACGCTACCCTATGCTTGTAATTCGGATTGAGATAGACTCCATGTTTTGATCCGAGATCAACTTGTCTATTCAAATTTGAAGAAGACATTGTCTCCTACAGCCTCGATTATCACCTGAATCTGAAAATTGCACAAAACCACCAAAACCAGTCTTGAATGCATATACTATAAGTCCAGGAAAATTTATTCAAAAAAAAAAAAAAATCCAATTTACCCAAATAACCTAATCAAATACTTCACTATAATAACCCAAGCTAGAAAACTTAAATAATATACAAGATGAAAGTTAGATTAATTCACAAAAGAAAAATCCGATAACTCAAATATTGAACAGTTTGAATTTTTTCTTTTTAACAGACTTCAATGTCCTTAATGTAGAAGGTGGTCAAACTTGATTGATGGGATCACAATTGAAGGTAAAGAGGGCCTCATAATGTGGAGGAAGCCACATTTCAATATTTCATAACTCTTAAAAGGTGAGATATGCCCAGAACTATCATTGGAAACCCGTCATTTTAAGAATATGGAGGAAGCCATATTTCAATATTTTCATAACTCTTCAAAGTTGAGAATGCCCAAAACTATCATTGGAAACCCTTCATTCTAAGAGACTTTCTGAAGAGAGCTCGCTGTGGATTTAAATAGATTTTGAGGGGAGATAAGTAAAACAGATTTTAGTCTTAGAGATTGTGCCCTGGGCTTAATGGCTTACCCTTGCCATTCTTCCAAGAATTTGGGACCTGGTCAATAATGACATACATTTAAGATCAAGGTAAACAAAGCAAAGAATGCTTCATATATTGCTTTAATACTGACAAGGAAACATATGGACTTAGTTGTCTACTGGGTACTATTTATAAGATCTGGCTAAGTTGCTTTCCTCAAGACTGAGAAAGGTCCTAGAAATATTGTCTTCTTGGCTAAATGTCATAAAATATAGGCAAATACTTGATATTGACCTTGTAGCATGCAAGTGTGTTCACTCTAGACGTAAGGGTACGGTCCCTAGAATAATTTGCAAGGTGAATTTTCAGAAGGCCTATGATAAAGTAGATAGAGAGTTTCTTGTTGAAACTTTGGGGTTGATGGGATTCAAGCAAAGATGGCATAGGTGGATATATGGATGCCTATCATCCACCCATTGTCAATCCTAATCAATTTTTCCCCCAAGGAGCTTCTTTCCTAGTATCTGAGGTCTCAGGCAAGGGGACGCAATGTCCCCTTCAGATTTCTAATTTATATGAAACTTCCTGCCAAAGTTTAGAGGGCCGGTCTTCTGCCTGTATTCGAGGTAAATGGCCTTTTAGTCTCTCATCTATAGTATTCTTATGGCACCTTAATTTTTTTAAATATAGATGTAGAACAGATGAAGAGTTGTGGCTCTTCCTTGGATGCTTGGAGGTCTCTTCAGGCATCCTGGTTAATATGAAGGTGTTGAAGTATGTCAGCAGGAGCTGCATAATATAGCTAAACATATAGGGTATGGTGTCGACAGGTTGCCATGTAAGTATATGGGTCCACCTCTTGCCCTAGGCAAACTGCCTTCATTGTGGAAAGGGTCAGTGATAGGTTTCAAAGGAAGCTAGATCTGTGGGAAACTAGAAACTTAACTTTGGGAGTTAGGATTACCCTTATCATGGCGACCCTATCCAATCTACCCACAAAGTTGATGTCACTTTCTCATTCCCTGCCTCTGTGGCAGGTATCATGGAGACAATGAGGAACTTCTTGTGGGGTGGGTATACTCAGAGAAGCATAGAATCCATTTGGTGAATTGGCTAGATTCATCTAAGCACAAAGTGGATTTGGGATTCT